CATTAAGGAGACTGCAAACGATAACTAATTATGATGAGTTGCTATGTAAATCATTCAATGGCAGTCCCAGCAATTTCAAACACAAATAGACCAAGCCCCTGGCGGCAGAAGAGGATGAACACCTACCAAATGTGTCAGAGATAACGGCAAGATTGCCAAGGTTGGGTGGAAGTAGGTTGGCAACCATCTCCAAGCAAGTTTCCATAGATTTCCTCTTGGTTTCCTGCATTCTTTCTTTCATACACTTAAAGTCCAATGCTTAATACAACAAGGTAACTATGGCATATTTTCAAGACTGTATAAGCATCAGGGAAAAAAATAATAATTCAGGGATGTTCACTGGACTTGCAATAACTTTGCAAAATGTGCATACAAATGCACCGTAATGGGGCCTTTGGTGTGATAGCTACTGGCCATGTCAGATTATGGGATACGTGTGGGATTGTCTGTTCTGACCTGGCATCACCACCACCCTCTACTAAGGTTTTCTCTGCAGCTCAGAGGAGGAACTAGAAACTGCATTTCTGAGACTTCCCTTGGTGCATGGTTCTACATTAGACTGAGCCAAACAGAGACACTGGAGTATGACTTGGAAATCCAGAGAGAAAGAGGAACAGGGCAATGTCTGGGCAGTTCTAATGTTTGAAGCAGTGTCCAAGTGAACTTCTTTAGAGTCACTCCCACAGTGGCGCTGCACATAGAGAATGTCACTAGGAGGTTCCCAGGCATTCCTGACATGTGCAGAAACTTCAGCAAGGTCTCAAGGATCACCAGCCTCGGTGTGAGGCTGGGACACTGAGTGGGGTCTTCCCTGACTGGATAAGCCTCTCTCTCATTCCTCACATTAAAACCCTTCATGATGTGAATATATAGTGGGTCTTCTTTTTTCCTATCTGAATACAGACTGATGCCATAGCATTTTCCCCTTTGGTTTTTCAAACTTTCTCTGCTCTTGAATTTATAGACTTGTAATTTAAAAGAAGGGAGGGAAGGAAAGTAACACAATTCTTTTGACAAAAACAGGCAAGGATACTATAATACTTTGCTGCAGCCTTAGCAAAGGCTTTGGAAATTCACCCCTGGCAGTGGCCATTTTCAGGCCATTTCTCTGCCTGTACTTTCTTCTTCCCTCCAGCACAATGCCACGGTCAGTCCGTATTTGCTTCAGATGTCCTGTGTGAAGGACACATGTCAGGGGTGGCCTGGGAGTCAAGGATACAGAGCTCTGAATATTTTTTTTTCCCTGCCTCTGTCAATGAGTGACTTAGTCTTCCCCAGCAGTTCTTGGCGCCTTCCTCTGTTAAATGGGGATAATAATATTTACTCTTCCTACTTTACAGGGTTGTCTTGAGTATGATATGGTCTATTCACTAAACAGAAATGTTTTCCCCAAAAGACACAGTGGTCTATATAAATGCAAATTCCATTTCTAACAGCTACCAGATAAAGAGTGGCAATACCTGGCAGGCAGGTGTATGTCCTATGCACATATTTAAAGAAACATTTTTCTAATACTTCAACACTCCTCATAATGTGGATACCCAATAGAGGATATAGTAAGTAGACTGCCACTAGGTATCAACTGGGATCATTGACACAGCCGCGTGGTCCCTGTACTCTAAAGACATACTCAGACCTAGAGTAGAATTCTCAGAGAGATTCAGGCGCACCATTCTAAAACCACATGTATATCACGGCCTGCATCTCATTGCAAGTCCAGCCCCTTCTTTGAAGCTTCTGTTCTAGTAAAATAATTCTGTTAGTTGCTTTAATTCATCCTATTTCCTTCCTACCATCAAAATACCAGACTTTGAAAACTATGACATAAAAATTATTATCTACTTGGAAGTTATACAATGTGGCTAAAATGCTGTCTGGCAATGAACCAATAGATGTAGACCCAACCATGGTGATCTGGGGTTGTGAAAGCAACCAAAGTTGAGGTCTGAGGTCCACAAGGCTGGTCTTTCCTTCCAGTATCACTCACTCCCAAAGAAAGATGGGTCTCTTTTCTCAGACACAATCAAGGTATCTCACAGAGGCATCTAAATTACTGACTTTCGCCTCTCATCATTTACTGAACAAATATTAACCTGAGGTTCTATTAAGCAGGAAGCCCTGTGCTAGGCATTGCAGGCACAGTGGTGAGCAAAGAGACACAATCTCCATCAATGCCTCTAAGCCCTTATAGCCTGTCCAGGAAGACAGTCCCTGAATAAAAGAGCACTGACCTAATATAAATGTGTGGGGTGGTATCAGAAGAGTCTTCCTTACAGCTGGGATATTTAAGCTGATACCTGTAGGATGAGCAGGAACCAGTGATGTGAAAGAGAAGAACAATTAGAATCTTTACTGCCCCTCAGGGAACTTTCATTTATGAAGAGTTCAAGATATACATACACTTCACCTCTATCACACAAAGAATATAAACAATTGCACTAAGGAGAAAGAAGCAAATATTACAAGTACCTCAGGAAGAGGAAAAATCAATGTAAGAAACAATTTCTTATAAGAATCAAAAAGTACAGTGCATTATTATCCCTACAATGCATGGATTAGCTGTAAATTACAGATGCAAAATCCTTTGCATTTGAATCTACAGTCCTTAGGAAATGAATCTTGGGTTTATCAGACTTGACATTGGAAGTTACATAAAAGGACAAGTAAAGGGAAAATGGCACGTACAGAAAAATAGCAATTTGCACATGAACTACTGCCCACCAGTTTATGTAGTTGTTGGTGCGGAATGAAAAGAGATTGGGAACTGGATGAATCAAAAATTATTTGCAAATAGAACTTCCACTTAAGATTTTATAGACCAAGTTTCAGACATCATGGAGGATTTCACTTGGGAAAGAAATGATGTAATTTGCCTTCACAATGTGAAAGAGCCTCCCTGGATAAAGGTTTGTAAACTGTTTCCATAAAGGTATTAACAAATGACACTCAGATAGTTTGGTGGTTTATATGATCAGAAAAAAAAAGAATAATTTCTTTAACTTAAATATAAAAAAGCAAAGTGGCATTAAGTAGTCTCATTCCGGGTGCTGAAAAATCAGGCTTTCCCCACTTGTTATCATAGGATTCACGCCAAGCTAAAACATATCAGTCTCATCTCTTCCCTACATGGATCAGTCCAATAATAATTCAAACTTAATGAATTTCTCTGGCTCTCTCTTTACTGGTATCCACAAGACCACAGGCCCAAAGACCTGGCCACCATTTCATTATGTTCACTTTTTTCACTACCAGGTCCTTCAAACTAATCAAGCAACCAGCTCATTAAATGGATAAGGTATTCCTCAGTAAAACTGAGATATCTGTTGCTGGGTCCTTTAAATAACAACGTTCCCCTAATGTCGGGCTCTGACGTCATCAAAGGGCATTTGTTTTAACTCTAAACACTAAAATTTAAAAAAATTTCTTGTTTTACTATTACAGTGAAATATGGTCCTATTATTGGGGATTATCATTTATCTCATTATGTCCTTCTTTTGTGAAATCTCAATTTCATGGCTAGATCAACTTTTACAAGTGGACTTAGGGGCTCTGAGACTTCAATTCCTATGCAGTGTACTCAATGATCTATACAGTAAAAATACCTTTATTTAAATATAAGAAACCAATAAATAAATCCATGAGGATATAATGCTAGAGTTAATTGGTTATTCTGTCTAGATATGGTATTGTTATTCACCTAGAGGAACTCTCCACCTGCCCCCCACCAAAAAAAAAACCAAAACAAAACAAAACAAAAAACACCAGTCCCTAAAGGAATATGTTCAAGACTTCCATAAGGACATTCAGTGAGGGAGCTCTCTTCGCGGTCCTCCAAATACAGCATGTGGGTAGCTGTTTGTTCTACCTGCCTTTGAACAAAGTTGATTTCCACAAAACTGACACCTAATGAACAGAATTCTAATTGAACCAAAATATATGCAAATGTAGAAAAGTTCTACTGTGCCCAGACAACAAATAGGCAACAAAGGTCCAAATCACAGACACCTGGAATCCTGCAATACACTCTTGATCATTGCCTGCAGAGTAGAAGTGTGCCATTTGCCCAGAGCCCACATGTCTTTTCAAGTGCCAGCTTCCCCACTTTCTGGGCATCTCTACAGCCTTTGTTCATGCCCATCCATCCTGCAAAGAAGGTGGGAGCTGGAACAGTCCTTATTCAGTGTTCCCTGAATGTATGAGGGGAGTTTCCCGCTTGGGGATATGTTCAAAGTATGGAATGCCCTCAATAAAAGCTTGTTCTTACTTAGATTGGAAGGCAGATTCACAATTAAGAAACATGCCTGTAGTCATAACCAGGATAAAAGGGGTAAAACAGTTATACCACATGGCCTCGTGTCCTCCCAGTTCCAACAAAGGTGATCATAGAGTCCTTGGCCTAAGCAGACAGCAAAGGGATGAGGCATTTTTAAATTATATTCCACGTAGACTCTAGAAATGGTAGTAAGAATTGAAGTCTTCGGGAACACCGGGTAAGCCAAATTAATGTTTTTGAGGATCAGATAATTTAAGAAAAGCTGTGCATTGATCCTGGGCAATGTTGTTAGGCAAATTGGAATTCCTTTTAGTTGTAACATAGAGTTCATTCATTTTAAAATTACAGATTTCAACTATTCTCTCCAAACAATGATACTTTTACAAACATTAGTGAGTTTCTCAATTCTCTCCAACACTTTTGCTGCAGGTAATGATCTACTTAGTAATTTTTAAGTACTATAATCTCTTTACTTAAAGAAAAAAAAATCAAATCACAAAATTATATTATAGCATGGATTTATTTGCCTTCCCAGTAGACCGCCACTAAATTCTATTTAATATGAGTTAAAATCACTAGGTTTGACAGGTATGGTTTTCTCATCAAGACCTTGAAAAGCACTGTGTTCCTTCTAAAGTGCGGAGGCAGCAATAATGAGCCCAGAGCTCTGCACAGCCAAGTGTCCCTCCCTGTAACTACTAAGAGCAATAAAAAGCTGAGTTCCTACCTCGGTGATTGGTGAGATCCCTGGAAGCAGAAGGCAGGGGTGTATAGGGGTGCTCTGGAGGGGCCTCGACATGGTCACTGGAAGCCTGCGTAATAAAAGAACATGTCAACATGAAGTAACACCAACCACTAAATACCTTCATTTACCAAACATGTCTTCTAGGGATGTGAGTCTGGAGGAAGTATTATCAACCAAGACTCTTCTTAGGAAGCAAGAGTTGTCTGTGCTGAGATAATGTTCTGGTGAGTGCAGGGTAGCATAGGAAGCTTTGAAGAGTCTCACTAACAGGTGAAAGGGCTCTGTGACAAAGGGATGGTTTGTTTATTGTGTTGAAAGGTGAGAAGGAGGAAGGAGAGAAGGTAAAGGTCACAGGCCTTCTTCAGGTGCTTCCCACAGATTCAGTGTTCACTGTGAGTAGATTTCTATGGAAACCAGTGAAGATGCTGGGCTTTGCCCCAGGGTGGATGGGGAAAAACAGGGCCAGTTTACGTGGCCCCAGTGGCATGGAGACACAGAAGCTCAGTAGCATGAACTGAAGGATATAAACCATTGTACACTGTGCATTTGGGGTTCTGACTAAGTTTAACAACCACACTGAAAAACTCATCTGAAATTTGGTACATAATGGTCCCCAATAAAACTTTGCCATTCCAAAGCCTAAAAGAAAATGATATGAAATGTATCTGTGAAAATGGTTTTTTATTGTACACAAACAGCTCTTTAACCATCGAACTGTATATAGTGTGACCTGTATGGGTAAGAAGTGCTACCTTTCTTTCTCTGTAACTCTACAAGTAAGGGGATGAAGCCAGGAAGAAAGGACTATGGCTGTGGAGTCAGGTGTCCCTCAGAACCCATGACCGTTCTGATACATTCAGTGTGGATACTTATAGCAAGAAGCATCACTATTGCAATTCTTACTGAGACTTCTGAATCAAATACTACTTTTTTTTTTAATATCCAAAAAAGAACATCTGCTAGGATCAAAATCCTAAGCTTACAACCTTTCCAAGCTTCAAGAAAAAGTAAATTTCATTAATGCTACATTTTTCTTTCTGGAATAGGAAATATATTCTATGGGATATATTTGCCCTCCTTGGAGCAGGCCTTTTCTCCAAAGAGATTATCTACATTATAGGAATCAAAACTAAGTAGGAGATTAGACCTACTTGCTAGAAAAACCCTTTAAACCCTGCTTCTGACATTTGAGATGTTTGATTAAGCGGCTTTCAGTGGAGACTTTACAGAAATAGTTCTGAATGGAGCAAAATCAGAAGCTTTGTCCCTAAGGTAGAGACAGATTTCAGGTAGCACAACTTTACTCCAGCTCCAAGGGAAACATGTGGTGTTTAAAGCTTGGTGTGAGGGTACTGGGTCCAGAAAGATAAAAGTTCAGTCACCAAGAAAAATGTTTTAAAAAGTAGATAAGACTACTAGATACCATATCATTAGATACTTAGGATACTGCAGAAATTAGATTTTCAAATACTAAAGTCACCACATGTCCCTCCATTTGGCATTCAGGGTCTCTTGCAATCCCCACATGATAAATGAGACACAGTGACAGTGTTCTAAATATGGCGCCTATTCAATGCTGGAGGCAGGATATATGGGGCAAAGTAATGGCAGCTGTCCTTCCACAGATCTACCATACTTCCTTAGTAAAAGGCCATAAGTTCTCTGTCAATGTTTCTGTTCCACCTCAATGCTATAAAGGCCCAAAATACCAGTATGAATTTTAGGTTGCTATATTGTGATATTTCTTAGTGTGTTTAATCTCAATTTGGGCTGTTGACAATTTGATGACAGCTTTTCCTAAAATTACTGGAAGAAACTACCTTTCAGCAAATACCTCTGACTGGGCAAAACATTAGAGCTCTATAACCAAGGGTAAAATAGCTATTTACCTTTATTTCCAATTGTAGTCAAAGCAAAATTGGTGTGGCATGAGTTCTGTTTTATAGTCATCATTCTATGCCTAGCATTTAATTATTTTTCTTCTTGGTGTCCATTTATAAACTCAAGTCATGGAAAAGAATCCAGGAAAAGAACAATTTTGCGAACTGTTGGTGGAATATCTAGGGCTGGATGTTTAAGGAAGCTACTACAAATTAAGATTCTAAATACCAGTTCTTTGACTTGGCTCTTATCGAAATGAAGTCCATGGGATTTTCTCAATAGTGATGTACACATTTGTTCTCTCGATATTATGGTTACAGGAACAATTAAGAAAAGAGTGATTAATATGAAACAAGTGGACAAGACAATGTCTTAAACTTGCACATTACCTGCCCCAAGTAAAGAACTTCCCTCGAAACTGAAGCAACATACCCATAGTATATTGAGTATGAAATGACTGAAATGTAAGTGGAAAAAGTTAAGTAATGTTTTCTTTTACCTGGATTAAGAAGATATGCCTAAAATGGGAATAAAGGAAATTTGGGTAAATCTGAATCTTCAGAACCATAAATCTTCTCAAATCTTTGAGTCCTTGCCAAATTTCCTAACTACTTATGGCAGAAAGTTATACTCTTACATTTTATTTTTTAAGTCATTCCTACCCCAATATATTTGTAATAACTACAATAAAATATTAGCATCTGGAATACATATGTCCCTAAATAATTAAAAATCTAATAGAAAAATGGACAATGGAAATGTCAGGAAATTCAAAGAAGAGAAAACCTGAGTGGTTAATAAATGAAAGAGAAGAAGGCCAAATTCACTAGTCTGAAGAGCAATGCAAATTAAAACAAGATACAATTTTTCCACTCACCATATTGGCCAACTTTCAAGTCTTACAACAAGGGCTAAGGTGAATGAAGGGAAATGAACTTTTATCCTCTCGTCCCTTGCCAGTGGGAATAGACATTGGTTCAACTACTTTGGAGAGTAATTTAGCAATACCTAATAAAACTGAAAATTTTATTTAAAATGTATTTTATTTAAAATGTATGTACTATGGAAAATTTCACTCAGGTCTATAAAGTGGAACATAAAACAGTGTTTATTCCATGATTATTTAGAACACACCAAATTGGAAATAGTTCAAATGCCTGTCAATAAGGAAAATGGATAAATAAAATATTGTATATTTGTATGACAGAATATTTAGCATTTAAGAGCAGTAAATCTGGTTTATGTATCTCTAGTTGAATAGGTCTAAAATTTTAACACAGAAAACATAAATAAATAAATAAATAAATAAATAAATAAATAAATAAATAAATTTAACATAGAGTGAAAATACAAGTTGCAAAATGACAAATATGAAATATCTATATCTATCTATCTATCTATCTTCATCTTCAACCTCATGTGTGTATGGAAATATCTAACAATTACACTAGTTAAACACTAACTTCATGAAAATGGCTGCCTCTGCCAGAATGCAGGGTAATAGGACTGGGGCTAATGGGATAGGGGAGGCTTCAAATATATATATACATATATATACACACACACACGTATATATGGTTTATTTATTTTATTTAAATAAAGACTTAGAAACAGATGTCAATATATTAGAAAATACAAAGTCTATATGTCAGTTACATGTGTTCACTATTTCTCAACTTTTCTACATTTTTGAAATTTCTCAAACAAGAAAATCGAAAAAACAAATATTCCTATTTCCTCTCTGATCCATACAGCCCTATATTGATATGAACCCATAATGAGAGGAAATTCCTCTAACAGTTTCCCAATACTTGCACAACACGAATAACATGAATTTAGGCGGTTTCTGGTTTGCCTTTTGTGACGAAATACCCCCATTTCTGTTTTTCTTAAGGCTTCTGAGTATGACAAAGGAATAGAAAAAGCTGATAAATACTAGTGAATGTGTACCCCCTTCATACTAAGGCTTGAAAGGCTCATGCCAGCCTAGTAAGTTCTTCTGCTTAAGATTTGTCAAAGCATACTGAAGGTTTCTGTCCTCTTTCCCTACTCACAAATGGGTAGTTGCTGATAAGTTTTTAAACTCACAGCAATAATGATAATAGTCACTAATATACTGCACTTTGCAATTTCCATGGTGCAGGAAGGAAGACAGAACTTTGGCAGCCTCGCTGGAAAAGAGTCAGTAGAAGTGCAGCACACTCCATGAGAGACTTGCAGAGTGAGAATCTCACTCCGTGGTTGAAGAAAACAAATGTCTTCAGATGAGTATGTAAAATTCAAGTCCCTTCCCATTGGGTGCATTCCATGGAAACCTGCATTCCAGTGGATATTTCTGAACATCATGGATGCCCTGAAGGAATATGATACAGACCACAGGAGGAGTGATTTGGCAGGCTTCAAAACAAGAAGGGGGCAGCTACAAAGTTGTTTAATAGCCATAAATCTCCTACTATTTTTCACAAAATACCATCTAAGACCACATCTCCACAACTCATTCCCCATTACTCAGCTCAAGTGGAGCGCTTTGGCATGCTCACTCACCCTTAAATCATACACAGCATAAAGTGATCCCGGGTCTGGGAAATTTGTCAGCCTCCTTCAAGCAAAAGCAATCTTCGCTTTTCATCACAATTCATTCCCTGAAACTGTGGTATAAAGCTGACTCTCTAAAAACATTTATTTTCTTTCATAAGAAAAAGCATCACTTATTTAGTTATCAAGTATTTAATAACCACCTACTATATGCCAAGGCCTGTGCTGCGAATACCAAGAAAAATAAAATGAGGACTTGGGTTGCATTCCTGACTCATCAAAAAAAAATGATAACCATGATTAATACTAGTTATTAAGAGTCACCAACTGGTAGCATGACCCCCAAACTCTGCACTGTCGCAGAAATTTATCCCTGACCTCTATTACAACACATGACCACATGGAAGAGTAATTATGTCCCTGCTTGTTTCTTACTCATACTAAGAGAAAGCTTTCAAGATTAACTATATTAGCTTTCTAAGATTAACTATACTATTAACCCTTGTACCCAACATGCTGCCAGAAATATAGAAAATAGTTAATGCATTGTGATTGAATGAATCAAACATTTTAATGTCAAAGATAAAACTAGCTATACAATGATTGCAATGGGACACAACAAAAGTCTGAGCTAGGTTGCCAGAATCAGAG